GTACCGACTCTATCTCCAGAACACAGAGCAGAGAAGCTCGCGATTCTCTTGGCCCAAACCGGAAGAGAAATCGAGAAACCCAGTCCGTACAACTCGATTCTCGCAATCCTCCGACTCAGTGTCCTCTACGTCGGTCCGATTCTTATAATCCAAAGCTTCGTCGATTTCACTTCCGGCAAAGGATCGTCACTATCGGAAGGTTATTACCTCGTTCTGATCCTCCTAATCGCTAAATTTGTCCACGTTTTAGCGACGCATCAATTCAATTTCAGTTCTCTGATCCTTCTGGTATGCTTATAAGATCGACTTTGATCACTGCTCTATACAAGAAAGGGTTAAAGCTTACCGGCTCTGCTCACGGCGTTGGGCAAATCGTGAATTACATGGCCGTCGATACACAACAACTTTCCGATATGATGCTTCAATTACATGCGATTTGGCTTATGCCATTGCAAGTAACTGCGGCTCTTGTGCTTCTCTATGGTACCCTTGGACCTTCAGTATGTTATCGGTTTAGCTTGATGATGAATGAGATGCTTAATTACATGAGAGTGATAAAATTTCAAGCTTGGGAAGATCATTTCAGTGAGAGGATTCTCAAGTTTAGAGAGATGGACTTTGGTTGGTTATCCAAGTTTGTTTACTCGATTGCCGGAAACATTATCGTGCTTTGGATTACTCAGGTGTTGATCTCGGCGCTTACTTTCACAACCGCGGTTTTCGTGGGAGTTAAGCTTGATGCAGGCACAGTTTTCACCACCACGACAATTTTCAAGATACTTCAAGAACCAATCAGGACGTTTCCTCAGTCTATGTTCTCGAAGAGTCAAAAATGCGATGGGAGTGTCGCTGTCAAAATCAAAGATGGAAGCTTTAGTTGGGATGATGAAGATGATGAGCCTGCGATTGAAAACATAAATTTCGAGGTTAAGAAAGGAGAGCTCACGTTGATTGTAGGGACCGTTGGAGCAGGGAGCTTCGGTTCGGGTTTGTGGGACAACGGAGCGCACACATCGTGGATTCAGAGAGTTTGGAGATCAGGGAACGAGGAATTAACCTTAGTGGAGGTCAGAAGCAGCTTGCTCGAGGGGTTTAACCTTAGTGGATGATCATACTGGTTCAGACATGTTCAAGGTAAGTACTAAAATCTCTCTGTTTGATTAATCACTAAATCAAAAGCAATAAAAGCTTATGCTTGTTTCTCTGCAGAAATGTGTAAGAGGGGCATTGAAAGGAAAAACTGTCTTGCTAGTAACCCATCAAGTAGACTTCCTACACAAAGTTGATTGCATCTTGGTATGGCTCGATGGAACAAGAGATTGAAACTTGTTGAGTTTAAGATTTTAGGATTTTGCTAATGAGTCGTTCCATTTCACAGGTTATGCGAGAATTTTAGGAATGATTGTGCAATCAGGAAGATACGACGAATTAAACAACTTTCACATTAATTATTCATTAATTAGATTCTGTAAAAAGTTGTCCACCAAACTGAAACTTGTTCATTTTTGAATATCGTCTAGTTTTTTTTTTCTTTCATTGTTCGTTCTCTTTTTCTAGAATTTACCCAAACCTCTCCATGAAGAACATGACATATTAATTACCAAAAAGAACACCATTATTAAAGAATCAATCATGTATTTCACTCATTTTACCCTACACCAATGTTTCTTCAAAATCCCCTCAGGGTCGGGCCTGCATCTATCACATATTTTGTGTCGATGTGTGTGTTGCTAAATTACGAAAATCACAAAAAATAACGGTGATATTATCAAGAAGACAATGCAATCAACGAGTAACCAATAGCATTTCGCCACGTGTCAAGCTCCCACTTCAGAGCTCAGATTTTCACTGGATTAGATTTTTCCGATTATAAATCACTTCACAGCC